AATTTGTATATATATTGTTATTATAAATCTATGTGGAATATGTCACATTTGTGTTGCGATGGCTATTTAGTAGAAATAAAATTATAATGATATTCACTCAATATATATTTTTAATAAATATTATAATAACAGTTTCACCTTAAAATTATTTTCACAATTTATATAAATAAATTTTAATTATTATTGAATATATACATACACTTTCTATCAGGTATAATATATATTAAAAATAAAATTAAAAAGAATAATAATCATTGAGACCTGACATTTATTTTTTTTTTAAGAAAAAATTCATAATATAAAATTAACAAGAGGATCTATAGTAAAATATGTAAATTGTGTAAAAATAATAAAAAAGCACACTAATTAATGCATAGATATAGAATAATAGGAAATTGTCAAATATTTATAGAGCCAATAAAAGGAGAAATGGAATATGAAGAAATGTAGAATTGATAAATAAGATGAAAATTGAATATATCTAGAGTAATATTTCACTTGAAAATTAGAAGAAAATAAATTATGTTCGGAAGAAATCATTTTGGCTAAATATTTACGTCTATTTCAAAATTTTATGAATATGTTACTAAATCATTTTGTATACCAAATCAAGTGATATTATAAATTAATAATAAAAAAATTGTAAAATTAAATGATGTTTTTTGACATGTAAAAAAATAAATATATAGAAAAAAGTTCTAATTACATTTTTAAATTCATTTATAATTAAATAATGATGAACATGTATAAGTAAGAAAAAATATCTATGTAAAATAACCATATTTAAATGTACAAATATAATTAAATTACAATGCATTCAAAATATATGGTTTTTGATGACCCCAATATGCAACAATGAAGTGGGAGACATTTATAATTTTTTTTTTTTTTTTGGTGTTTAATAAAATAAATGCTTTAAAATTAGATCATACACTAATTACTAATGTGTAAAATGGTCATTTCTATTATATGCATAATATTAAAATTAAGAATGTGTTTTATATCTAAAATAATTTTTAAACAATATTTGAATGAATTGAAAGTACAAATGTTACTAATTTATGATAACAGTTTTATAATGTAATCAAACTAAAATAATCCATAAATATCCTTGGTTAGTTGGAGATGTTTTGTAGGATCGTGTAATGTAAGAGCTTTTTTCACATTTTTTTAAAATTTCCTCTAGATTTACAATGCTTTTATCCAGAACTATAACATTTTCTGGAGTACAAAAATATTATATTTTGAATTCCGATTTTACACATACATTAGAATGTTGTACATAAAAGAAAATTAAA